AGAATTATTGGCTTAAAATCCTTTTTTTTTAATTTTTAACAGTTAGTAACATAAATGTTAGACCGTTATGCTTGTATGAAGACATTGCAAACAAATATCTAGAAAGCCAGCTGATGCCATGTTGGTGCAAATTTTATTATTAAGTATATTCAGAATCACCATTACTATATTTATTCATGTAAATTAATTTGTTGATAACAATATACTTTTATTTAGGCTTTATTATTTATTTATTTAAAGGTAGTTTAAGAATACTGACTGCAACTTTGATGATGGTTGCAACCACCTTTACATCATATAAAACAATTGCAATACCTAGTCGTAACTGCCTTTGCAACAACTTTGTTGGATTGCAAAATGGAGCACTAAAGTACACAAGTAAAAAAAAGAAAAATCAGTAATACTCCCGATTTTTGTCAAATTGATCAATCATAAACAATAAATTATGGATTCCTACAATTTTTAGAATTGATAAAAATCAGGATTTTTTGAATTGTCACTATTTTTAATAAGCTAATTAGTTAAAATTCGGGTATTACCAATTGTCAACTGATTATTAACATTGCTAAAAATTGGGGTTTTCTGGATTGTCATTATTTTTAATAAGCTAATTAGTTAAAATTCGGGTGAGTAATTGGTTTTTTTTTATTTGTTATCGAATTGTTCTAATTGGTCACTAAATACCTTATCATCATTATTGATGCAAGTTATAATAAACAATTAAATAATTTACGGAGAAATAAGTTATATGGTGTAATGGATAAAAGAAGCAAACAATGGACACTGAGGTAAGTGGTTCAATTTCCAACATAAGAAAAACAAACGAATGAGTTTCAAAATTTAGCAAATCTGATAAAAATAAGCAGTGAATAACCAATTCAGTAATTGGTAAAAGATCAGCTAAAGTTCATGGTGTCTGATATGATACATTTTTTTGCCTGATAGTTTACTGATTTTTGGATACTGAGTTTCTACCTTTTAGTTATTGATTATTGCCAATGTGCGCCAAAATTCAATAACAATTAGATATGAGAAAATCATCACTATTCTTAAAATAAGTAAAAATCAGCTAAAAATCAGGTACCTGATATTTCACCGATTTTATTCTGAATTGTCCTTTTTTTACCTGTGGAAGATTTGGATCAAATTTATTATCACAATGATCACATTTATCTTTCTCTGGAGGATGTGCTGTATGATATCCAGAGGGAAGTAATTTTATATCTACTATTTTATCTAAGGTGCACAGTTTATATTTTATTAATTTTTTTTTGCTAAAGACTGGCTGACTGTTATTTAAATTTCTATAAATCAAGGAAAAATATTCTATCAAAAACAACTTGTTTTTTTCTTTAAAATAGTTTAAAGCTGTTGGTGTATATGGATATCTTTTACTTTTTGAAAAGGCATTGGTGAATGATTCTCTATTTGAAAAGGTATGATTATCAGGAATTATATTTAACATTTCATCAAAAAATCCTTCTAATTTTGGTTCACTTTCCTCAATTAATTGGCAAAATTTTATTGGATCCAATTCAATATCTGCATTGTATTTATGTTGATTATTATATAATACCTTGGTCAATAATTCAATTTTATTCAAAAAGGACAGTTCATCTATAATTAAAATTTAAATTAGTATTTTATAACCCTTAGAAATCTTTGTAAAAGAACAAATAGCTTTAACTTACTTTTTCTTGAATCATTTTGAATTGTTAAACAAATATCAGCAGTTTCAATTAGACTTTCAATTTGTTTTTGATTATTTTCAATTGTTAATTCTATATTAC